TTTTTTGAACCGGGCATTGAACTCAGGCCCTTGCACTTGCCAGGGAAGTGCTTATTCTACTGAGCTATCTCCCCGGGCCTCCTACAATATTTGAAGGGAAATAGAACACCCATCTCTGACAAAACCAAACAAAAAAGGGGATATAAATGAAGGATCACTTTGTAGTGAAAATAAAATCTGTATATACAAATTAGTTAGGATAGATATACAGCTACTTTCTCTTAGTTTAATGAGAAGAAAAATTTGTACTAATAGTGTTTAGACAAAATATCATGTCTGCATATTGTACTATGAATAACTACTATGAAGATAACAATATGCAATGTATTAATTATTTAACTGTCCTACTAACCTGTTTTGAAACTGTCTATTGTTATATCTTACTCAATAAGATTAATTTTTTAAAAAAAGAAAACAAAAACAAGAACAAAAAAAGCAGTACCTGCAACAACAACCCCCAAGTAGAGGGAGGCATTTTTCACAGAAACTAAAACCCAGTGACTAATTTGTTCAAGTGTGTCCCGTACACATTCTGCCCTTGAAGGATATACATACTTATGTTATTTGCTTACTAGAAATAACAGCTGACATTGCATTCTCCATGGATAAAGTTTTCTGGGCAACATTTTTTAGACCATGCATCAAAGTGAAAGCAAGATTAAAGCAAAAGGTCAAATGTAACTAAAGGTTAAATTTATCTTGAATAAATATAGAAAATGTGGCATTGGAACGCAATGGAAATAGAGGACACATTGAAATCACTTGTAGGAAAACGGACGCATCTTTACTCCGTAATGTAAAGGGAGGTACATCTGCCACGCCAGCTTAGACATGGCATCTTTCCTTTTAGGTAGAAAGCCCAAATCATAGAGAGAAAAAGAAAAGACAATAGGAAACAAGAAATTGATATTTTGCAAATGGGAAAGGGATGAAGAGAAGGTAGCCAAGGAGAGCGGAAGGGACATAAGATTTAAAATATGTTACGTCATTTACCAACCACACTCCATGCATGTAATCATGATGGACAGCAAGTAATTAAAAAGATCTTATGAAGTGAATTAATCTGTCTATGCTGAAAATTCAGTATTACTGTAACTAAGCAAGACACATGGGCGCCCGCAACCTCCAAGTGCTGAGTTCCCTTCCCCCACGGTGACATGCCAATGACGCCAGGCTGCCGTGGGGGGATTCCGGGTGGCAGTCCCAAGGGAACTTCACTACTTACTTGGGCAACACGAGAATCTGCACAATGAAGATGCAGAAAAAGATGAGGCAGGCGCAAGTCACGTAGTACTTGAAGGCTGGCAGTGCGGTGGCTCGGTACTGAAAGGCAAGAAAGGAAATCCCGAGTGAAGGTTCTGGAAGACAGGAGCTGCGTGCAAGCCTTCAGCACCTAGCTGTACCTTGGCAGGCACCACTCCGGGGGAGGGCAGACTGCAGCGCACACCTGCTACCACTGCTCATCTCGGGCAGTCAGAGCTTCCTGCCTGCAAAGGAACTGCAAGTGACTTCTGCATGCACAGTGGAGGGCAGTGTCTGCCGCTGCTGCTCCTAGGCAGAGAGGCATCTGAGGAGGAAGTGGAGCGGGTGAGCCACAGGACCAGTGAATCACACTAGTTTCCTGGCTCCCTTCTGAGCCTCACGCCTACAATTATTTGGGGAAAGGAGATGACTTTTCACATCATATGATCTCAATTCTGAGTAGTGTGGAGGAAATGTAAGTCATATGCATTTATTTAAGTGTTATGCTTTATTATTTATCTTAATGGTTTAGTAGCAAGGAAAGATACAGGGAGCAAAGGCCTGTGGGCTTTGTACTGGGGCCGTTCTTCCCTTTCTCTTGGCTGGTGCAATCAGCAGGCATCTTCCTGCTGCCCAGGACTGTGCATTGACCAGTGCTGGCTGCCTACCCAGGCTGCCCTGGGTGAGTAGGAAGGAGATGGAGAAGACAGCACCACAATTAAGATGGTGATGTGGGTCTCCACTGCAAGGGGTCACTGCCACGCGCCAGACACTCCAAGCGCTTTACGCAGAAACTCGCCATCCTCACACAGGCCTGTGGTGGTCCCTGTCGGGGTGTGGAACAGAACTGAAGACCGAAACGATTGATCTCCACTCTCAGGGACACATGAGGAAACCAGGCTGCTCATGAGGCAGCCTGAACGAGGCCTCGCGACCGTGGAGCTACACTGCCTCTTCAAAGCGAGCTTAGCACGAAAGCAAAAGGAGATGCACTCTGGTGCCAGGGCCACGAAAGCTCCGGGGACCCTGGCAGTCTGGGTTGCCTGTTTGTGTTTCATAGCTTCCTAAGTTATGACAATTATATGCACTTCTTGGTTTCCAGCTTCGTGGCTTCCTTTGCTGAAGGATGGCCCTCCAGTTGGCCTTCTGGTGTGTCTCTTCCCATATATCCTGCTGCTCTATCCTGGCTGGTGACCCCCACGGCCAGTGGAGACAGATGGACAAAAGTCATCTATCTTGGTCATCTAAGTTTAATGCTCTCTAAAATCAGCCTTAAGAGGGGCAGATGTAAGTATGAACACACGGGGAATGGGAGACAGTATGTAAGAAAATCCTTATTTTTGAAATGATGATTACCTTCTCTTTATTTTCTTTCTGGAGAACGCTGTGATTTATTAACCAGGATAATCTGCATACTGATGAACAAGCTTTATTAGCATAATTGCTGAAATGTGATTATAGCCTCTGCACTCAGTTACATTCTTATCTTTTAACTTCTTCACGGTTTTATGCAGAGGGGTGGGTTGGAATTTTCACTTGGCTACTCACAAATGAAATAGAGTTCTATCATGAAGGAGTAAAGTAACAGACAACAAGAAGCCGTTCATATTTGTTAAGATCTCTCAAGAGGTGGTGGCAAGTGACAACACTTGTTATCAGGAATCAGACTGGTAAAACAGCTGTAGTCAAGTCCATTTTTTATTTATTTTATTTTATTTTATTTTTAAATATTTATTTATTTGTGTGTGTGTGTGTGGCCAGCTCAGCCCACCAGGGGGCGGGGCTGGCTGGCATGTGGTGCTGGGGGATCGAACTGCAGTCTCTGTGCTTTGCTAAGCTTGTTCTAAGTAGGTGCTTTAGACCACTGAGCCATCTCACCAGCCCCAAGTCCATTTTTTTAAAGTGGAAAATTAATCTTCTTATTCTCCAGCACAAGGGAAAGTTTGGGTGTATCTGTAAAACCTGACCCTGATGAAATTTGGAAATATTTTGATATTTGATTAGTTTTATTCAATGTCCATAAAACTGTGAACTCAATTTTCTCAACAGAATTTTCCTACCAGTGATGCAAACACCACCATTAACATAAATGCATTTGTTCCAACTAAGCCTGTAATTAAATGGTTGGATGACAGCAATTACCTCTAAACCTGTTCCTTCCGTAGATCAACACAAGACAAGTGGTAAAGGAAGTAAAGTTGACCCAGAAGAATGGGTGTCCCTCCTGCAATAATGACATCATTCATTTTCACAAATCTATATTAAAACTGACATATACAAACCAAAGGTCTGCTTCCTACTTGTACCTGAAGTACATCTGACTTTGGGAGACTAAATGTGAAATAATTAAGTCTTAATATGAGACTCAGATGGATGCAACAAACCTTAAACATTTCACCGTCTAAGTTTTCAGAACCCGTGTTCAATGTAAGACTTACACTTCTGTCAAAATATGTAAAGCAATGTATAAAAGGACATTGGAAATTAAATGGGGATTTTTCTTTCATTGAAAGTCTTTCCTAAGAAGATTTCATGGAGAAGGGCCTGCATTAGCTCCTGTCCTGCACTCTTTAGCATTTATTTCAGACATGGTGCTGGCACTGTTTATGGCCAAGAGTTGAGATTGCGGAGGGGAGGGGCCAAGATCAATGCTTGGAAGAAAGACATACACTAAAGCAATTTATGCGTACAAGAATCACAAAAAAAGCCAAAGAGAGCTCTGATACCACTCCAGGCAGGTTAGATGCCACAGATAGGAAGTAGGAGCCCAGCTTTATGATGGAGCCCAAAACCACCATTTCAGAAAAACTGATAGATTTTGCAGAAAGAGAAAAAAATTCTTACTTCTTTTTCTAGGATTTTGTTATAGAAAAGTAGTGAGATTCTCTGGATGTCTTCAGACTTGAGCCATTGCCTGGAAATAAAAAAAAAGACAGATATCAAAACTGAAGCTCCGAACAAACACTCAGAATGATTTTTTATAACATGGTTTGCATTCTTCTTTCTGGATTTTAAGTCATCCTAAGCTGAGCATTTAAAAAAAAACACACACACACATAGAGCCATCTTATTGGTTATGGAATCCACAGGTTGTTAATGTGATCAAACAATACAATGTTGGTATTCCCAAATGGCTTTTCTTGGGAAGGCCTACCTTACAGACCAACTCTCATATGAAATTGAAAGTCAAGTTAACCCAACAAAGTACAAAGTCAGCAAAGGCATTCAAAGGCATCCATAAGTTGATCCCATGAGGTGTGACTGGCCCCCAAGGTGACACCATCCATGTCCTCGAGGATTTGGCTTTTAGAGGAACATTCCTTTCTTAGCTTAGGGGAGCAGCGCTTCACGCGGAGCATCGGAGCTGTGAGAAAGCAGCTTCCATTCTTGAAGAAAATCCTTTCAGTGTCATTTTCTTGCATCTTGAGAAAGTAAAAGTCATGTTTGACTGCAATTTTCCAAAATTTGCTAACTTACTAATATATTGAGCCTTGGTGGAGATGTGTTGATAAAAACATAAAAATCGAACATATAAGTACATGTGTATTTCTGTAGCGTTGAAAAATAAATGGAAATTACATGAGAGTGTAGTGGCCACATTGACCAACTTTTAGAAGTTTGTTTTGAGAAGCGCTTATAAACAGAGAGCGTGTAAAGGGGAAACTTTGTACTATGATGCCGTAAGCAACCACACGCCGAACAAGCCAGTCTTGGAAGCTGTGTGGACAGTGTCTGGCACAGTTTCACAGAGTAAAGGCACAGTACATTAGGTCAAATTTGGTGAAAAAGAAATGCAACCTTTTATATTGACAAATATGGGAATATAAGGAAAACTCCAAGTCTATGCATAAAGGAAATTATTTGGAAATACTAGTAATAAAACATTACTGGCTGGTTTGGCTCATTAGTTACTGGAAGATTTTTTTTTTTTTTTAATTTTAGGGAAGGGTCTACAGGGTCTTACTACTAGGTCAGACTTATAGTGATCTGTCCGTTTACAGCCTCCCAAGAGCTGGGATTATAGGTGTGCACAACCACACCCAGTCTCAATCTCCCGCACAGCGTGCCCCGGGGGCAGGGTTGGCCTGGCAGGCCCGGGAATCAAACCCTCAGCTCCTATACCTGCTTTCAGGTGCTTTGATCTGCTGAGCTATTTGGCTGGCCCATGGAAGATTTTTACTTAAGTAAAACCTTTTCTAATTTAAGCAACACAGTAATCTCAAATATATACACATCTATGTTTATATACATATGTGTTTAGATCTACATATATCTAGAACTGTGACTATATTTGTATTTCTGTCTATATAAATAGAGAGAAAACATATACTAGGCTATCAAAGAGATAATTAGGTTTTATAGAAATTTCCAAAAAATACTATCCTTTTCAAATAATTACCAATTCACATAAATGTCCTGATGTAATTTTCCAATCTCTTGGTCACACTGTAGTTCTGTGGATTTTGATGCCCTAAGGTGTTTCAGGGAGATAAAGGGTTTCAAGTCTTGGAGGAGCCAGGGGAAAGAGCAAGTGGAATCTTTCTACCAGATTTGCCACTCACAAGTACAGCCACCTCCTGACTCCAGCTTAGGTCTGCAGGTGCAAACTCACCCAACATCACGGTTCAGGCAGGTTACTGCAGGAGACAGGCCCAGCGCCAGGAACTCCCAGGCTATGTGGAGTCCTCCACGGCTTCTCTAGCGTGCTCACTGCCAGGTATCTATCACAGTCAGCTTGAGTCACTACAAGACTCAGCTGTGCATAGTGAATTTTAACCAAGGCAGGGAAATCAATATAGCAGTTGCCATTGAAAGTGAGATCAATAAAAATAATATTTAGTTCAAGGTTATAAGCTTTAGGTACTGGGGAAAGAACATTTTTTGTATCTCTTCTTCTTATTACAGAGCTGCTGAACCCTGGTATTATTTTTACAAGATTAGTTGGAAGAATCAAAGGGTGATCGATATTAAAAGATCCAGAAAATAAAATTAAACTAATTTTTAACTGTACTCACTTATAGAACTGTGTATTTATTAAAATATAAATAATGTGTTCAGGTAACTTACTAAAAACAGTTCTTTATTGAAGAAGAAAAATCTAATTTAAAAATGCTCTAGGAGAACATAAACTTGGAAATAAAATGAGTGTATTTTATGTAGTGGAAATAAAACTAGTTTGTCCTTTATTGAAGGGCTACTGGCCCTGGTGAAGGTGTCATGCAGGTGGACAGGAAGACCTCCGACAGGTCTTGCCTACCTAGTGTCCCCGGCATCTAACAGAATGCCTCCCTAGCCAAGAGGGCGGCGGGATGGCTGCTTTCCCCCCAAGGCACATTCTCTCTCCTCTTTTCTCACTGAAGCTCAGCTGGATTCCCCCAGAAGGAATATGTCATGGGCAGGATTCTTACCTGGTTGTTTGAATTAAGGAGAATATGCTTTCTCAATACACACTGACTTAGTCGTCTTTGAGAGTTCTCTGAAGTGACCTGAGTTCTCACTACTGATTGGTAAAGACTCCAGAGATTTAGTTATGTGGTCTGGTTGAAGGTATAGGAGAAATTTGTGTGGGCTGATAAGGTCAAATGCTATTTTTGGTAGTTGGAATGACAGAGAAAGATGAGAAGACAGGTGGTTGGGGGAGAGAAGGGGAAGAAATATATGTGTTTTTTTCCATGATCTCTTGGCATTTTCCTGACCCATGTGCTCTATGGTATGGGAAAATTCATCCTGATCCCTGGGCTGTACTCTAAATATTTCCCCATGATGTCATACTACTATTGTAATTATTTGCTGTTGGGCCAATGCCAAGTAAAGGAAATTCTGAACAAGCTACTGGTGGCAGGGGAAGAACAGTTGTCATGCAAAACCTCACTGAGAATTATTATGGCATTTAAGCATCATAGGGCAAGGGGAAGATAAAAAGAGAGAGGAGACTGCTGCCCTGAGCTTGTGGACTCTGTGTCCGTGTCCCTGTCTAAATTTCTAAGTGAAAGTCCTAACCTCCAGCCTGGCTGCGTTCAGAGCTGGAGCTGCACACAGGGCAGGTAAGTGTTGGAGCAGCGCCAACCTGATTGGATCAGGTTTCTTACAGGACCAGCACACAGAGGGGTTCTGCGCCCACGGCAACGTGTGCAAACCAGAAGAGGAAAGCTTCTGTATTGGTTTGTCCGAGCTGAGCAAATGCCGACATTGCTCATCTTTTTACATAACTTTGCTAAATGAACTAGTAAGGAACAAATGACAAGCTACTGTTTTCTGTCACAAGCAGAAAACGACCAGATGATACATGAAGCCTAGAGCCCCAGTCCTGTCTTTGGGAGGCAATGAAAAGATCACAGGAATACTGCATCAGAAAAAGCAGAGTTAATGAGTGGGACATAGCAAAATATGATGGACACTAATTGAAAATATATGCAAAAGAGCCTCCGTCTAAGAATTCTCCTCTCTGCGTACACCAAGTTTTTCTGTTTGACTTCTGAAGCGCACTGGGAAAAGCCCGACAGCAGCATTTGCACCAACATGGAAGCTTTCTTTAGAACAAAGCTGCATGGAACCATGAAGGTGTCAGATAAACATGTGTTTGAACACTAAAGCATACCAAGAAAACAGACACCTCAAAAGCAACCTTAGCAAGGCAAAAAGCAAAGCTAATGATTGTACTTTCCATTAATTCCTTCTGTAGAATCATTGTCAAAGGTGGATGCACAGGTTGCCTAAGAAGGTAGGAGTCCCCGTGTGTACACGCGGAGGCTTACGTTAGAGACTGGCTTTCAAATATTATTATTGGTAGCTAATACTGTCAAGGCACACAATTTTCTTTTTTCTGTTCATGCTGTGTGTTGGTCTTGCGGGTGACAGCTGCTATTTCCTTTGGTTGAATTGGTCTGTCCTTCTATGGATAAGAAGCTTCTATGGAAGAAGAGGCTCCCTGAGGTTCTGACTGTGGGTAGCTTGCAGGCAAGAGTTTGCCTCTTGGCTTGCAGTGTGCTGCAGTTTCCAAGCCCAGCATGTGCTGGTGTGCCTCAGGCACTCGGGGGCAGCTAGCAGCTCTGTCTATTTGGCACATGTGAAGGAGCTCTGGTGGGCAGTAATGCAGCATCGTTGATATCTGATGGGCAGCTCCCGGCTGACCATGATAGATGCTTTATTACACAGGCACGTGCACATGTACACACACACACACACACACACACACACACACACACACGTGCGTGTATTACATTGATGTTCATGAGAATTTTTCACAAGCCCTCTAAATGTTCTAAACACTTACATGGAATCATCTAGTGAATCGTGCAGTTTGAAAAACCCTATATTAGCTGAGGCCCTGTAACTTCACATTAGAGGCAGGGAGTTCTTAGGTGACAAACATGCATGCTTCTCAAGACCTGACTTTTCACGATAACCCTGGCAGTGCTGCTGTGAAGGCTTTGCGCACAGACCCACTGGTCTTCACTACTCTGGAACTCTATGAACATCCACGGAATGTTTCCTCCTTTCCAGGTGCCATATCGAGTCCCCTGTCTTTGCTCTCCAAGCGGCTCCTCTAGAGTTCAGGAATTGAGGTGACTGAAAGGCCAATGGGAGCAAGCACTCTGTGCATCAAGTGGAACTCGCCACATCCCTTAAATTTTTTCTTTTCTACATTTCTTAGCTCATTTATAATGACACCAGCACTTCTTGACTGCCTGGGTAGAATGATGCTTCGCCTCCCACGGTATCAATTTGCCTTGCATCACCCTCTGCAAAGTCAGCCTTCAACCCTTTTCTGGGCTTGGGACAGTGGGCATCTCCGCGTCCTTGGATTTTACAGGGAAATCAATGGCTCACGTGATGTGAAACAATCTCAGGACTTCCCCATGTGACATCCTTATTAGTGACCCGTGAGCCTGCAATTTTCTCCCCACGACTGCCTCTCATTCTGTTTATTAGTAAATGGACTGGAGTATATTGTCTAGGTAGGGATAAAGTCATTTTTAAAAATGATGAAACAAATTTTATTAGTAAAAGCTACATGGCAGGACGACTGAGGAGAAATGAGGAATTGCCTTGGTTATTTACCGACATGTATTGCAGAGCCTGCTATAAACAGGTTTGCAAAATAATTTTCATATTTTGCATTTAGTATAAGGTCTATGGGGTCTCACTACACAGACTGAACTCATAGTGATCCTCCTCTTTTCAGCCTTCCAAGAGCTGGGATTACAGGTGCGTGCTACCGTGCCCAGTCTGTCACCATCTCAGTATGTCCTCGGGGTGGGCCCGGCACAGCAGGCTGGGGATCGAACCCCAACTACTGTGCTCTGCCGAAGCAGGTGCTTTAATCTGCTGAGCTATCTGGCCGGCACTGTAAAATCAATTTTAAAAGAACAGCACTTGAAATAAGGTAAATGAAGTTGGAAAAGTGCTCACTTCTGTGCGTTGATGCCATCGATGGCTCGAATCATCCTTTCATTCAGTTCTTCTTCAAATCTTTTCTTTTGTGACTTTGTTCTATATGGAAAAATAAATAGAGTGGGTTAAAATAGCAATACCAGACCTATCTGCCTATGATGTCAAAATTTCTCTTTAATTTGTTAAGAAGACAAGAAGAAAAGAAAATGCAATCTCTGCATGGGTTTTCCCTATTAACATAAACCAACTCTGTGGGTGGATCGATTCTCCAGAGTGTGTGGCTCACTACAGAACTTGGCTTCTCTTCTACTGAAGGCAAAACTTATTAAGCCTTAAAAAAATCAACACTGAAACATACATATTTGCTGTCTGAAGTAAAATTACTTTCTTTCTTAAGAGGTGTATTAGCCCAAGATACACTGCCTGCATAATCTTCATTTTATAAGTGAACATACCAGCTCTGGACATTCCCCTGCAAGAGTTTGATTTCACAGACAAAATAGTCATTCCTTTTTCATGTTTTCCTTGGTCAGGTTTCCAGAACTTGCAAAACTACACTCTTATTTTCAACATACCAAAGCTGAATTGTATGTATTTGAGGGTTCTTTAGTTTTGAAAAGTAGTATTCACCGGAAACTCCTTACATGGGTAGACTATCTCACTTGGTCTTGACATCAAATCATCTTTAGCCATAACAGAAGTTGCTTTCTGAACAGATCACACTAAATAATCAGAACTCCTCAAGGATAAACTGAAAGTTCACACGAGAATGATGTGAAGGAAGAAGCTGAATTGGTGCCTATTTTTAAAGTTAATACGTGTTGCAAAAATGAATGAGCTCAGGCTGGCCTTTGCTGGCCGGCCTTAAAAAGCCTGAGACAGGAAGAGACTCCGTGTGTTCTGGTGGGCCATTAAGTGACTAAGCCTTGTAATCTGGAATAAAAATAGCACATTTCTGAGATCAGAACTGCCTCTAGGTAGAGATAAGAAGAGCATTAAATATGCACTCACATTCATCATTTATCTGTAATGAAATCTCATAGAATTATCATTAATGAGCTGGGTATGTTTTTCTATTCTAGAACTTCTATTAGTAAATCTGTGCTTTTGCTCTTTTCATTTTATTTATTTTTCAAATTTTACTTAATTGGTACAGGGTCTCACTACCCAGCTCAGACTCCTAATGCTACTCCTGTTTTCAGCCTCCCCAGTGCTGGCATTATTGGTATGTGCCACCACATTAGACTCAGTGGCCAGCTCAGCAAGCTCAGGGGTGGGGCTGTCGTGGCCTGTGGTGCTGGGTGTCAAACCCCCAGCCCTCAGCTTGCCTAAGCAGGTGCTTAGTCCACTGAGCTAGCTCACTGGCCCTCTTCTTTTCAAATAGTCTGAAGGAAGTCTTAATTTGAAACCCAGAATGTTACTAAGTGATCTGCTTACACTAAGCCAACTGAATTGAGAGGCTTTTAAAAGCATTTCAGTTTATTTGAACAAGACAATTTAATTTTTTTTGGTACTGGGGATTGAACTCAAGACCTTGTACTTTCCAGGCAGACACTTATGCCACTGAGCTATCTCCCCAGCCTGACAAATTAATTTTTGCCCTCTATTTCTAGTGCTAAGGACTGAACCAGGTCTTGAATATGCTAAGCATGCACTGCACCATGCACCACACTCCCAGCCCCTTCATTCTTTGTTGAAAGAATGAAGAATCTTAGGAGTCCTCTCACATGGCTCACACATTCTCATGGACAGGTGAGGGCTCCACATAGTGCGATGAACAACTTAGACCTTTCATTTTTAATTTATTGGTCCCCCCACCAGATTTGAGGGTTTTTTTGACTTTAATTTGACAATGCTCACAGGAAAACCACACATCTTCAATATGTTGCCCAGACTGACAAAGACACTGTCTGTCTTATTCTCCTTAGGATTAGTGTAAGTCATACCTGTATGGATGTCAACATTATAAATGTGACATAGGAAGTACCTGATGAACAGCATGCGATTATGTGTTATTTGAGTTCACCAGTTATCTGGACCTCAATCTTTTCTGTCATTTTATGGCCTTTGTTCTGAAGACTGTAAGGCGCCCTTAGGGCTGATAGTCTTAAGGAGCTGTTGTTTTAGGAAAAAGGACTTTGCCCTCCCACTTCCTGCACTATCAGCTTCCTGTCCTTGCACCTGCCTCTGCCCCATGGTTGGTCTTCCTGCTGCTCTGGGCTGCATCCTTGCTAACTTGTTGCCATCGGTTCTTCCAGGATCCTTGCCTAGACTTGCAAGTGCTGGATATGCGGCTCCCTGGCCAGGCTGGAGTCTCACACAGGTTCCTAAGAGTCCATTGCCCAGAGCCAGAAAGTGGGAAGAAGCCCAGGTGAGCCTCCTTTAAAAGCAGGGTTTTTTTTTTTCCCCCAACAGGCCTGGAGGCCAGCAATGACCAAGATCCCAAGAGAAAAGTTGAGGATCTATGGAAGACGCTCTTTGTAAAGCCAACAGGACAGAGCAGTGCTGAGGAATGTTGGCTTTAGAGTCACTGAGCCTGGTACAAATTCTAGCTTCATCTTGGCCAACCATGAGACACTGGGCACCCTCCTGAGCCACCATACATCAATTTCGGTCTTCAAAATGATTATGCGATGTCTCCTGCAGAGTAATGCTGCAAGGCTGATTTTTTATTGTATAGTAGAAATTAAAAAAATAGTAGCTTTTTGCCATCATATTCCAGGCTGTGATCTTCTCGCAAGATGTGATGCTGCCTCACAAAATGTTGGGGCTCCGGGAGTCAGCAGACTCTTTAGACAAATTGCATGGAGAGATAAAGCAGAAGGAAACACACAAAATTCCTACGAGCAGCAGCTTATGCATGTGCCAGCGTCTCACTGGCCTTCAAAGTTATGCTCTCGCAAGGCACCTAACAGGGCCCATAATATTCTTAAAATTAGCTTAAGTTTTCTTAAATGTGGTACATGCCAATATGAAGTAATGCTTTAAGGAGCCAGTAGCCACATCATCCTTATAACATAAAGAATATAAGTATTATATTCAAAGCTTTTGCACAAAATACAAAGAGCCCACTGCAACAAAGTCATAAAAAAGAATTATTTAAAAATGTCCACTACTGCCACGGTTTGGCAGGAGAAGAACCAAGTGCAGTCTAGAGTTTGCTTGGATACAGTGCACTTTGTACGTGGAAATACACTGGTTCTTGTATTGGTCCTTTACTTCTGTATACCTATCAACACCTCCAATAAAATGACTTCTTTGTGGGGACAGAAAGGCTGCTTCACCTTCTGGGCTTCTATCATACACTGGTCATTCTGCTCCCCTAGCATCGGTTCGGCTGGCTTCAAAACCAATATTAAAGTAAAATTAAGTACCAAGGGTAGAGGAACATGAGGTTCAAGTGCATGGGTGGGCATTATCACGGACAGCGACAGGGCATGGGGGACGGTGGTCGAAGCATTTCCCTTCGTTGAGCAGGCTGGGGAGCCGCTCATTTCATTACAAAAGGCTGACTTACCCTGCTTTTATCTCTAGCATCCAACACAAAAGTTAATTTTAAGCAGTGCATTTGGTTTATAGTCATTTAATTTTTATTATAGGTTAATGTTAAG